ACGTATTTATTTATGATATCGTCGTTCGGAAAAAGTAAAAGATACGAAGATAAGCAATATCATGGATGCAAATATTCCATTCCTGTTTGCGTGAGCACTTCTCCAAAAGTTTTGACTTTAGTAGGACTACTTCCAAACAGATAAATACATGTGATACACCGATCATATCATAATGTACTCAGATGTGTTCAGATATAATCTAGTTACGTAAGTCATTGACGTATCGTCCTCGTCGTGCTGGCTACGATAGCTATCTATTATATCGATATCCTGATTAAACCGTTACGTCAGCCGTATCACACGAATTTCCCGTGCTACATCGATTCATATCGCAATGCGATGTGCGTACACGGCGATAACAAGAGACGGGTAATTACTTAAGGTCCAGCAAAATCCACTATATGTTCCACATAAAGATTTATGTATAACGCGCTGTCATAAAGGAACTCGTACATAGAAAGATTATTTTGTTGAAGTATTTTAAAAAATTTAGCTAAATATATACAGATTTGAAAATAATTTTATTAAACTATCAAAATAATTGTGTAGGACAATCAAACTGATTTCTAGAATATACAAATTTTTTCAGTGTAGCTCATTATACTCAAGTTTCTTATATAATTATTTTGATTGCCCAATAAAATTATTTCCAATCTGTATAGAGCTAAGTTTTTAGATATTTCAGAAAAATTAGTGCATCTTATGAAACGTGGCTGCAACTGAGCGAAATACAGTAAATCGACACGGGAATACGGTACTCACTAGTCTTAGGATGCCCAACTCAATAAAATATGATTACACACAAATCTGGATGGAATTTTATAGTGGATCCTGATTGATACATGTCTTCAGTGAAAGACAGACGCGAATTAAAGCTTGAAGCGCAAATCTTCGATTCATCTTCATCCATAATCAAATTAATTCGTTGCACCGTTATCAACCAGCTAGTGCCGCGTCTAATCTCATAGTCGTCATAACTAATGTAAACCGATCGTGTGTCAAGGCAACACGACACGAGAAACTGCAGAGTGTACACCGATCCGTGCTTTTCGTATCGCTATTTTATTTTAAATGTAACTTTTTAGCAAATAAGAGTATACATATATGTACATATAGACACTTTAGTACACAACATAATTCAAATATAAGCTGCCCATCTCGTGACGTCTCCCTGCAGTTATACGATAATTTCAAGTATGTTGTGACATTTTGTCGGGAGGAAATACCGCTGGTGGCATAACAAATTGTAGGCTTAACCGCGGCGTTCGTCTAGTTCCTCGATACATCAGCGATGTCGACGCTTTGGCCTTACGACGTGGCACGGGCAAAAATACCGCAAGGATGAAGATATACGAGAATACGAGAGAGCACGAGGACGAAGAGGTCGTTATCTCAATTAAATTGACCGACGCAGATTAGCGATATGAATTCTACCGCGTTCTAAATTTAATGCCACTGCCTAGCTGCGCCGCGATGCAGAGAGCATGGTTTTGTTAAAAAAAGAAAAAAAAGGACAGTTGTGTATTTATGGGCGCGACAATTTTTCAAGTCGGAATTAAACGGCAAGCGAGACTATCGTGCAACGTCGCCAAGCGTTGCACTCGCGTTCGCAGAGACGTGTCGGATCAACGTACAGCAGATTAATTTGGGTAATGGTCAGTGTCAACATTACTTCGATCATTTTACATCGTGGATATGCTAAATCTATGTGATATGAAAATGGAGGAGTGCGACAAAAAGATGGGACTTTAAATGATAAAAATAGAATGATAAATTTTTTTTTCATCGTCCGGTTCGTCGACGCTGAACTCGCTTACACATGTGCAAACGTTTAAGAGTTGTTGATGATGAATTTATTATGTTCGCCTAGTGCTATTCATTTATGGCTCGTTATTTCCTCAAGCGTAGTGACATGTTGCGATATGTGATGATTACCGACATTGCATGCAGCGCAATAAATTAATGGCTTTTAATTACTAATGGTTTTAAAGTAATATGAACGATATGCAGATGAAGATAATGGTAATAATTTTGATAAATTGTAATTTTATACGCATCGTTATTTAACAGGGAAACTTTTTCCCGACATGCGAGCGACATGCAATTAAAAATGTATTTTTCATAAATAGACAAGCTCGCAAAAATAATCCACGTGTTCCTTTGTTGATGTGTTTCATGTTGCAAAATAATAATACGCGCCGAATATGAAGGACATTAAAAAAAAGATGGAAAAAAAATTACTTTAAAATTACGAGTGACGAGTTATTGTCTACACATATACGTCATATCTCAGCAATATGTCAACGATAAATGCACTGACTAATATAATTATTTCTTCTTTTTTCCAAACTGTACTATAAGTGGAATATAACACTGATAAGAGGCCATCAATTTTATCAGCACTTTAACAACGTACTATATGTAAAGTGATTGTAATATAACTCTCGCGTTTGCATCGACATTCCTTCATATCTTCAATATATCCGTTTTACTTGCACTTATTTGCGTCAATGTAACATTTGTGCCGTGCTAGAATTTTTCTCGAATAGTAATGTCTCGATTCACATGTAATTTCATATGAAATATAAAATCGATGTAAAAAAAGAAATGTATTCATAATCTAATAATTACGAATATAAACATGAAATGAATGGGAAGAGCGACAGAACGGGTACGGGAAAGGCGCGCGTGGAGCACGCACCAATTACCACCTTCGAGATACGGTTGAAATGCAGCAGCATGCGATGCTGCTATTATGACAAAAACCTTCGTTGTTAGTAAGACAAGATAATTATTCCGCCGAGCTCGGCTCTTCGATCATTTAGGCGTGGCAACACATGTTCTCAGTTCAGCGCTATGCACGGCGTATATGCAAGGTATACCTATATACAGCGTGTCAGGACACGTGGGTACGGAACCTCTCCGGCTTGCCAACGGCTATTCATTTTCGCAACCCTCACCTCCGCCGCCGTGAGGGAGGGATTCCTCCCTACACAAATTATTCGATACGCCTCGTGAGGCCAAAACGAGTTAACGACGCCTAACGACGACGCGTCGCACGCATCGTGATTTTAATGACGAAAATTATTTACCAAGGGAGAACTGCCTTTAATACAACTTTGCAGTGCGAAATTAGCCCCGATCGTAATTTCTGCAAACGATGACACTCTGTCGCGGTTAGCCGGCGAGAAGTTGCTTCGTAATCGCGTCGACAATGTCGCGCCTCGCGCGATCGTTACATAGTCAGTAATAAGGAATACATTTGTCGAGCTATGTATTATGCGTGTACGTATGCGTATACGTGCATGTGTGCAAGAGACTACACGTGAGAACTAATACATACGTGTTACTTGAACATTCGATCCTTAACTATATTTTACTTTACAAACACTAACGAATTACACTTTGAGCCAAAATAACATCAAGAAAAAACGCAAATCAGCCTATCGTTAACATACAAAGATGAGAAAATATTGAATTATATCGAGAACACTATGACTAAGCTTATATACACACATGTTAGATTTAAAGAAAAAAAATTTTTTTTTTCGTTTACTATTACGTTAAAACATCTGTAAAAAAAACCTTTACATTTATTATCAATTTAACATACGTGTCGTCAGAAACTATAATTTAGAAGAAAACACAGATGGATCTATTACAAGCTGAATATAAATAATATCGCGGTCATATCAACCGTAACTTGTACAAAAAAAGTGTCATGTGTTTTTCGGTCTGATATTTCTGGTTTTCTGTTCGTTATAATCGCTTCAGTGTAAAATGGAGCAAAAATATCAAACACGGATAGAAATTCCGGTAAAAACGATTCACGAAAATTCGCTTCATGCGCCATTCCTTATTATTGATTATGTGTTATGTATTAGTTTAGCACAAGTTAGGGAGGAATGAGATACGATGTGTTATAAGCGCAGCGATCGGATCGTTTAATTATGCGCTCTTTACTGATTCGATTACTTTCGTTTTACAATCGGTACGATACGTTTGTAAACGATACAAATGCACAATAAATAATTCTAACTGTGATTGGAAGATCAGTTTCCCGTGTTTTACTGAAATGTTAAATATAAGAAGAATGGCATACACGACATTCGAGAATTTATCAACAAGGTTACTTCTTTTCGCTTATCTCTTGGATAATTATCGATTTTTTGCTCGGTACAACTGTTCAATGATTTTTTTTTACAACGGTTCCTGATATAGCAAAATGAGCTGAAGTGCAAGCGGGAATCATTGATATTAGTGAGGCGATCTCGGATAACAACTGCGACTTATCTGTCTGCTTATGTCTGTGATCATTGACTTTGCTGCATCAATCTTATCGAATCACTCGTGCCAATCGACTACTTTTTCACGTATTCAAACGGTGATAGTTTTTAGATCATAATGCATCACATTCACTTGCGAGTCTTTCTATCTTTCTGAATTTTCATATTTCTCATTTTCAATACACGCGTACACATTTAACGTCAAAGGAAACGGCTCGCTTTAACAGAAAAGTTATGCATAATTTTGAATAGAGTTGCTGCGAAAGTAAATAACAAGTTATAAACGAATAGTAACTAGACAAATACTTATCAATAACTCTTAAATGTTTACAATATGTAGAAAAGTTCAGCGTCAATGAATCGGACGATAAAAAAAATTTATTATATTTTTATCATTTATGTTAGTCAGTGCAGATTAACTTTAACTTACTTTTCATTTTTTTTATTCTAGTTCTACAAATTTAAAAAATGATAAAGAGTAAATTGAATCGAGATTTAAAATTAATCTACATTGATGGAAACATTAAACATTAAAGTCTTATTTTTGATTGTACTCTCCAATTTCCATGTCACATGGATGTATCCACGATGTAAAATGATAGAAGCAATATTGACACTTGCTCAAATTAATCTACGGATTTTTCCTCGCAAGTAGATGTGCATGCATAGTTGCGAGATCTCTCCCGGAGAGTACGCAGGATCGAGAGCGCTCACCTGTAGATTTGGCGATCCTCGGAAAGAGAACTGTGACATGATGTGTCGGCCGCTCAGGGCCGTGATGGTCGGGCACCGCTACGCGATCATCGTTCCAGAAGTCCGCGGCATTCGCCGTATGCGCCTCGCTCCCGGACGTAGTCACTTCGCGAATCGGTCACACTTCCGCTCTTTTTTTCCCTTTTTTTCCTTTTTCTCACTAGCGTGCCTGAAGCGAATGCTCACGCGTAGGCGTGAGAACCCTCTGTGTCGCGTGTCCAGCCACCCCGTAGCGGGGTGCTACTCGCGTCGACGGCACTCCCGTATGCCCGGTCGTCGCGACTGGCCGTCCAGTTGCACTCGAACCGGTTGGAATCGGTGGCGGTCCGCTGCCGGCATATGCACTCGCACTGTCACACGCGAAAACAAGTTGAAGCGCGAGAGCGACCGAGAAGTAGTCCTCGGTAGCGGTTCTGTTGTTGGAACTTCTACGTGTCGTCGTTATCGTCGTTATTGCGGGAACACTCGCGAAGCAGGTTGCGAAAGAAAGTGCCGCGAACGACAGCCGGTGATATATGGTCGTACCGCGGACCGCATGCACTTCGATCACTTTCGCGTTGGTCAAAGGGGGAAACGGACAAGAGTCCTCTTGAAGAAGGAGCGTGAGCTCTGTCCGGCACACCGAAAGATCACGAGTTGCAGTATAAAAAAAAAGATTAAAGGGCACAGAGCGCGCGACAGCGATGCGTGGCACTTGTCGTGGTAACGCGCGATGCGGTTAGTCGCGGACGGCTAGTTCACTCCGTTGATCCGATCGACGCGCCAGCTATGATCGGTCGCGACTATCCTCCGAATCGTCGTTTCTTTTCGACGGAATCCAGTCCTCCGCTTGGTGGATAGGAAGGCGGAGGTACATGGATCGCGGGCGCGAGCGAGACGGCTACGGTGAGGGGGAGCGAGAAGGGCAGATGGGATAGAGGGAGGAGGGAACGAGAACGAGCGAGCGTCAGAGGGACGGGATGGCAAGCTGAGCGAGGGGGAGAGGAGAGGCCCGAGAGGGAGAGAGAAAGAGAGAGGTAGAGTGGTAGGTTGAGTGAGGGTGTCGGAGGGACACCGCTGAAAAAGGAGAGGAATGACGGAGGAGGATAGAGGGAAAGCGAGAGAGAAAGAGAGAGAGAGATGGAGATGAGTGAGAGGGAGAACAACGAGGACGATGTGAATCGCGCACACCGGCCGTCTCTTTTTATCCTCCGCGGTCCTTCCACGCAGCCGGTCGCCTCACGGCCTGCGCAATCACGCGCTTCGAACTCGCGAAAGAGAGGCTTGTGGTTCGTCTTCTTATTCCTCCTCTTCCTCTCGCTTATAGTGCCGATCACGGCTCCTCCGATCGTGGCGCTACCAGATCGCGCGCACCGCAAAAGCGCCAAGTACGAACTGACGGCGGCGCGTGTTTCCACCGCGTGCACGCCCGCTTGCTGCTGACAACACACAACAGTGACTAGGCCCAGACACTATACTGTTGTTCTTGCTCCGTTTTACTATCTCCCTCCAGTTTTCCTATTTCTCTTTTTCTCTCTCTCTCTCTCTCCCTCTCACTTTGCCTCTATAAGGCTTCTTTTTCCATGTGATGACCAACGTAAGAATTCAATTGTGCGTTTATTTGTTATCTTGGTGTTCACTTCCACAAAATTGTCAACAAAAGATGAGTTTGCTTCACGTTCACCGAGCGCGATAAGCACTGGTCGATCCACCGTCAGTAGGTCCTATAGGATCACCCGATTTCGCGTATGTTCGCTCCTCGCTCGCGGTGGAACAAGCGTGGTCCGCGGTCTGTAAGTTGCCGCTGTACCCCACGTTTCGCGAGATGACGGTTGATCGCGGTGTCGTAGGAGGAGGCGACGGGTACAGTGCCGGTGGCGCTGGCGGTAACGATAGTATCACGCTAGTGGTGGTGGCCCGATGACGAGAGAAACGCTCGAAACTCGCCGGTGAGTCTAGTGGTGGTGATGGTGATGGTGGTGGCAGTGGCAGAGTCGTCGCCGTGGTTCTTTTCCTTCCACGGAAAGGGGGACGATTTTTGCGAGATGGTTTGCCCTCGGCGAGACGGGTGGGAGGGTCCAGGTCGGTGCGGCGCGCGGCGTGGTGGGGGTACGGGCACCACCTCTGCCGCCGATGCCACGCTCTCGCCTCCACCTCGTACCCGCGCGCGAATTCGTTCCGCGGGTAGCTCTCGTATTAGCACGCCGGGTGTCGTGCGTGGCTCTCTTCTCTTCCCGCACGGGTCGTCGGCATCCTACTTCGTCGATCGGGCACGGAGCCGGCGGTTAGCGTCGGCAAACGCGACAATAAAATATGGTGAGTCGCCCGTGGGGCTCGGCTAACGCAGCTCCCTGCGTTTCCCTCCCTTCAGCCGTCCCTTGTCGAGTCGGTGCCGGTGGTCGCCTCGTTCATCCATCCTTTTCCCTCCTTTCCTCTTTCCGTTTTTTGTCTCTCGCTCTTTCGCGCGACGGCCCGATAGTCCGTTCTCGCTCCCTCGTACCTCCTGATGCCCCACCGTAGGCGCTTTCTTCCCTCTTCGTTCTCGGCTTTCGTTCCCGCGTGGAGGGGATGGGTTGAATGAGACGGAGGGGGACGCGACCGGCCGAGATGCTGCCACGCTCCCGTATGGTGGGGCGAGAAGAGTGTGAGCGGTCGGTAGCGCTCGGAGGGGGTGAAGGGAAGGTTGGCGGACGACAGGGGTTGGGTTGGGGGGGCACGGAGGCAGAAACTACACGACAATTTTAGTTCGATAGATCCCGAAGTTTAGCCTCGGCGGCGCTGCTTTACTTGCCGCTGACTTCTTCCCGGTAGTTTGTTCGTTGCCCTCTCTCCCGTTGCTGTCGACTGCTTCTTCCCCTCCTCCTCCTCGGACACGACCGCACACTCCGACCCATGTCTCCCACCATCCAAACCTACCGTCTTCTTTCTCTTTCTTTCCTTCTCCTTCCTCCGCGCGAGGACAAGATCGTCGACTACTCCGTACCCCTTCCTGTGCCCGGAGTTAGCTCTGATGCCGCGCTGCCTGCCACTCCTCCTTATTCTACGCACTACGCGACACTTGACTACACAAACTTCCGTCTCTCTCTTTCTGTCTTTACGCTCCTACATTCTATCCCTTTCTTTCGCCTCCTCTCTGTCTCTTCTTGCCCTTCATGCTTCGGTCCCTCTCATTTCTACCTACAATCTCGCTCGTTGATCCCGCTCCAACCTGCAGCATCGTCCGTCTCCCTTGCGCCTTTACATCGCGGAATGCACGATCGTCACTCCGGTGAGCGTATTACAAGGACGGCGTTTACGCAGAGTACTATGTTCGTTCCGACAGTTTAACGCGACGATGTCGCGTGAACGTCCCGCCGTACGACCCGGCCGTCAATCATCTCGTCAGATTGTTACACCGAGATTTTTTCGTAATTTTGTTTCACACTGTTTCTCCGCAGAATTCGGAGTAATCGAACTAGCGAACGGATGAAACGTCTTTTTTTTTTAACAACGCTCTAGTTTACCAATTCAGTTCAGATCATCCGATCGAGACAACGCGAAAACGTGCACCTACGATATCCGAGCGGACACCAGTGAAATAATTTCGATGATGCTGTCCAAAGACTTTGGCGAGAGTGTCGTGAGAATGCTTTGCGCAATTCTTTCAAGAGAACTCGCCTCCTCGCGCGTACTTGTTCGTGCCCTTCCGGCACGACCGCCAACGAAAGAGGCGGATAGGAGCAGTTGGAGGTAGTGGGTCGCGAAAATATACCCTATCGTCTACGTTGGTGGGGATATCTCGCGTGCGGAGAGGGAAAAAAAGGACTCGCCGATATTTTTCGCCCACTGATCGACGACGCGCGCACACGCTCTCGCGTACCTGCCGGCGGCAATATTTTTGCAGAGGGCGCGTACACATACATATACATGCACACAAGGACGCACCCAGAGAGCTCGTCCCACGTGTGTTTGTGCCACGGTGGTGGACGCAGGGGAGAGAAGTGCTGGAAAGAGAAAGAGAAAGAGTGAGAGGTACGGATAAATCGTGCCCCTTCCACACTTCTTTCGCCTCCCCTCTAACGTGCCACGGTGGGTGCGGAGCTCGGCTTTTTTCCCCTCCGTGGGCGCGGACTAACCTCGCCCCGCCTTCGTCTCCTTCGTTCTCGATCCCCCTCCACCCTTTCACGGATGGTGTTGTAGCGCGGCAACGAGAGTGACTACCGCTGAAACTCGTGACGCCGTCGCCTCTCTCTCGCCGTCACCCCGCGACCGACGTGCACGGCACGCCGAGCTACCGCTTCGCGCTCTTGCTCGCCGTCGGAGCGACGGAGGAACCTCGTCGAGGGAGCGAGATCGCCCGTCGCTCGGAACGGAAGTGAGACGAAGAAGAGAACTGGCCAGCGGAAGGAGGAGGGGTACACACCGAGATGTGAAACATTAGTGTACCGTTTGTTAACACCGCGGTCTACACACAATCGCGCGCAAACTCCCTCTCCTCGCCCGCGTCCGGCCCCATCGCTCCCCCCCGTCGCTCTCCGCTTTCTTTAAGAGGGCGTTGCTGCTGGTACGTGCTAGCAAGGACAAGCGCGTGTGAGCGCCTTCCTTCTTCGTGAGTTCATCGCGGAATGCTGGCACGTAGGAAGTATCTCTCTCTCTTTCTCTTTTTTTCCCCAAGTCGCAACTCTTTCCTCTTTTTCGCGATGTCGTTTTCCTCTCCTCATTTCTTCTTACGCGCTTTAACTCCATCTTACTACCATCTTACTCTCCTTTCGTCCGTCCTTACAGTACCGACTTTTCGTGAATGCTGAATTTGTCGTGCACAGAGAACGGGTCGACGTACTCCGCTTTGTGCTGCAACTCCGAAAACTAAGCCGATTTCGCGCATCAATATTAAATTTTCTGTGCGCGCGTGTGTTTGAGAGTTCACTTTAGTTTGGCTCTTGGAACGATTTGTGGAAACGGTAGAGAACTGCGAAAGGTGACCATCTTTTATCGTAATATCACCAAAATATCAACAATAAATCAAGGTAACATTACAAACATCGTGGGAATTGGCTGTTCCTGACCACAATGAAGATCGAGTTGAGTTGATATAGCAACTGCAGCATGTGCATTGTACTACATCGTACTTTTTTGTGACAAACTTATCAAATTATTGACTAAGTGATTTGCAAACATTTCAAACTGCATTGCGCGATTTTTTCTTACGCTCGTATCTCATCGATGTGCAGAAATTCCATTGTCGATAATCGCTATCGTTTTGATAGGTATAAATTCGTTCTACCTTCATCTAATGGAAGTGTATCGAGCGTTAGCTATCTTGTGATCTTGTTGGGCTTCCATCGTCTGATCGTATTTAGGCTTACATTCTTTAAGTGTGTTATATGTTCTTGTAGTGTATCGCCACGTCGTGATGTAATGTTATCGATAGTAAGCTTAACTCGAAGGTTGTCTATTACGACAGACACATTACCAATAGCGTAAAGTTTTATGTGGATGAATATTTTTTATCGTAGTCTGTAATTCGTGTTTTAAATCTTCAACAAAGATTTCAACGTTATAAGATTCGCAAAGGAAATATAGTAATGATTAGTTGATTAAGATATATTTCTTTTGTATATTACAAGATATGAATTTTTTAAAACTTTTTAAGTTATAAGATTCAATAGGAATAATTTTATATAATTTTCACAATTGTCAATTACACATGTAGAAGACCCTTAAACAACAGCGTCAAACATTCGTGAATGCGTAATCAGCACGAAAGCGATGTAGACGTTAAGTGATGCGTTTGACAATTTGACAGAGTAGGCACACAGAATGTTAGATGCGATGTAGATCAGCGATGCGTATCAGCGATGCACGCGAATGTGTAAAACATACCGCGGACACGTCGTACGTGATGACACGATACACACGTGTAAAGTAGACGTGTCCTCTTGCACGTGAATTGATCCACCAAGATCTATATAGTAGCTGTCAGTGTCTTGACGATAACCCGCAATTATAGATCGCGCGCGATAAGTAAAATGCACGTAATACCGCAAAGCGAAAGGGACTCGTCGTTCGACATCAAGCAAACTACGGCTCATCATGTCGCATGTTCACTGACAACTCGCCAATTATTCGCACGGAACGCATTATGTGTATATTAATCGACATCGTGAAAGCGATTCTCCCGAGAAAGCGAATGAAACAGGTGCCTTGTACAATTTTAGTACATGCAATGAAATTTATGCGCATCAATTCCCTTTATCCCAAGCCTGTCCCTTTAATCCTGCGACGATAGTAACTAAGAAC